GTGATGGACTTGCAACCTGTCCAGGGTGTACCCCGCCCCTCGCACTGTGACTGCTGGATATGGGCCCCAGTGACCCTAAAAGGAAGAAACAGGTATAGATAATGGATGGATGGATGGATGGATGGATGGATGGATGGATGGATGGATGGATGGATGGATTATGATTATCATTTCTTCTGTCAATTTCTATCTCAGTAACCCAGTCACCCATGGTAAAGTCGGGTCTGACATCATTCCTAAACACATTTGATGAATTGGTCTCTCCAGGGACCTGCATCTGGTGTGTATCTTTGATTGACATATGTCTCAGCCAATCACAGTCAGCAGCTGCTCCACTCCTCGAAATTCATCTAAAGGGTTATTTTCAAATGTGCCATAAAATGCAGCTACGCAGCATGACGGCTCAGTGCTGAAGCCTCCCAGCAAGAAAGTCCTGGGTTTGATCCTTGGTTCGGACCTGTGGTCTTTCTGAGCGGAGTTTGCATGTTCTCCCTGTGCTCGCGTGGGTTTTCTCTGGGTACCCTGGTTTCCACCCACAGACCAAAATATGTACAATGGACTGCCTTCAGGTCTAGACCGGCCTTGCAAAAGAGATCTGTGATCCCAATGGGACTTGCCTGGCTAAATAACAATAAATAAAGAAATAAAATAAAATACAACATAAGTGTTGTATTTTAATCCAAATGATTCCAAAACTGTGTTGCCCCAACTTAAGCAAGTATTTTTTTTAAAGAAAACAGAAACCATGGTTTTAAAATGTCAACCCATCAAGCTGCATGTTGTTTCATTCATGTTTAGGTTTCAGCCTGAGTTACTTATTGGATACTTTAGCTTTATTACAATGACATTATTGACGTTTTGGGGGGTTCAGTTTTCATTATAGCAGTTATGGACAACCTGTCAAAGTCAGTGGCACTCAAAAAAGCAGCAACTAACAATAAAATAAAAAAAACTTGTCTTAACTACTTACATATGCATCAGTTTCAATTACGTTAAACGTGGCTGTTTTTTAATCAACCCTACTAATGTTTTTATAGTGAAACACATAATTAAAAAAAACATTTAAACAGACAGTGAACATATTTATGATGTATATACAGTGATGATGATTCACCATGTATGTTTTAATGTGATTCCCATGAGGGAAAGATGCGTGAGGACACACTGCGTTGAGTGAGCATTGAGTTGTGTGTCAACTGTTTGTGTGTGTCCATTTTATCCACTTATTGTTTCATTCATTTGAGAAACTCCAAGGGTGTAACAAAATTGAATAAAATACCCAAATTTCATGAAACTTATTGAAAAATATTGTCTGTTAAGATAACCCGTGTCAACAAAATTGAATCAATGTTACTTTTGTTTTTCAGCTCAAAAAATTCTAATTTGTCTGAAATATAATAGGAGAAAACTTTGCATTTCAGTTCTTAGTAAGTTCCTGGTTCAAAAGCAAAGGTCTTGACACACTATGATGTTTTATATGAAAGGTTTGTCCAACACTACAGATGTCCAAGCTCAAGAAAAAAAAATCTACTGGAAGCGTCGTTTGGACTTATCTTTACTGTAATGTTAACAATTAGATCAAAACATAGCCAAAATGAGTAAAACAGTAATAACAAAATATTCACAAGTCAGCATAAATTGTCTAAAACGTTATGTGACAGGGCCTTAAGTTTGGAATACTTTAAGTAATCATTCTAGACAAAGACTGTAAGATTTTTTTAATGTATTGTATGCAAATTTTCTTTGTTTTGTTTATGGTGCCTAGTTTTTATGACAGCGCAATGTTGTTTTTGTTTTTATGCATTTTAAAAAACCAAAAAAAATTGAGCCACAATGTTCCAAAAAAACAAACAAACAAACAAACAAACAAAAACAAGGGGCTTCAAGAGTTGTGTGATTTTCTACAGAATGTTAAATAATGGACTCACCATTAAATTTGATGCAAAGTGATTTTTTTTGCCCTGAATAACACATATTAACACATTTAAAAGTTGTTTTGTCTTTGAGTGCACTCACGGGGGGATTTTAGGTGACTCATCTCGTGTAAGAGCACATAAGTGGAAGCAGTCACAGCCACATTTGAAACCACTTAGTTGAAACAATAGAAAACGAGTGCAATTTGCACAGTTGGAATTAAGTTGTCTGACTTAATGTGGTGAACTGCCTTTGTTTCTATTCTTTTTTAGACCAGCAGAGGCTGTTTGCTCAGTGAACGTCCTGACATACAGTGGACATATTAAATTATAGGATGTGGGAGAAAAAAAATCAATTAATGGCTTAGGCAATGAGCAATAACTGTAGCTGCTTTGACATGTCAGACTGGAACTCTTGTGACACTAATACATTTATTTAAATAGGTGCTGAAGACTTTCCCCATTGATTTTATCAATGCAGCAGCAAATGGGTTTGAGTATAACTGCTAATGTGAGGGTAAAATGTAAAGGTTGGAAGATGTAGAGGTATTGCAGGATTTCCCAGCCATAAAGGCTGAAAAAAGGGACACTGAGTCCTGGCTTCACCCACATTATAATTACTGCAATCATGACCCATTGACCAATTGAAATGAATAAATTAAAGAACTGGCAGTCCTAGAAGGCACACCTAATTTTATGGCAGGGGTTTAAAATACGATTGTCTTATACAATGAAGGAATGGGAGTTATAGCTGCTGTGGTCAAACTTTTAAAAAATGTAATGCACACAGAGTATGTAAATGTATTATTGCATGATCTTACATGTTTATGAATAAAACATGTCGTAAATGAATCTCAGTAAATGCCAGTCAATATCTATGAAACTGACCCAGATACATTTATTCGTAGG